TACTTTAATTGATAGATATGATGCGAACTGTAGAGACGACGACACTTTTCACTTTATTATAAAACACATGTAATATAGACAAAAGAAACAGCCACCATGGGGCTGCTGCAAAACTGCAACGTCAATTTAAATTTATTGCAAAACCAATCTAATTCATTCATATTCATTACACTAGTTTGAATTCATAAAAAAAATTTAAATTTTCGATCCGTGCCACGCCTTAACAGCTTTCTCTAATCTTCCAAGTTCACTTTTTATTAAGCATTGATATGTGGTTAATCTCTTTTACCGCGAATTTTGTTGTGGATGGACAACTTTTCGCATTAGACAGAATATTTCACAATAAAAAAACCGTCTGTGAAAAACTATACTTTTAAAATTGTAGTTGTTTATTCCCTTTTATGCAAGAGAAACTGCAAGTTATTAGTAGCCTTACAGATCTTCTTTCTCAATCAGTAAACCATAAATTTTCTTTTACTGCTCAAGAATCTTTTAAAACGGTGTGCGAACAGCAAGCAGTTTTAGATTATGTTTTAATTAAGCCATGAAAACCGCATGAAATCTTTGTGACGATCTATAAACATCTTCACACGTTTCTCAAGATCACATTCAGTTTCAGTTCAAAAATTTATATTTTTCTCGTTATTATAAAACATCTTGTAAGTTGCGCTATTCATAACAGATTAGCTTTCCGCTAATTGCTGCCATGCATCAGCGTGGCAGCACACTAATCTTGACATGTCTCGGCCCATTCCTCTACTCGACCTATATAGAGGTAAAATCTCGATTTGTGTCGTTCTGTCTGTTAACATTTCCGGGGGGGATTTTTACGGAATGAGGGGGGAAGAACAATCACAATAAGGTAGAACCTTTCGGAACTCCTGTCAGTTTCTCTTTGATTTTAAATGTCTGGAATCCGAATAGATATGCGGCCTAAACAACGTTATACAGTAGATACCAAAATCGAGTGATTACCGACATCAATTACACATATCTCGTTTGGCGAAACACATGAAATCGATTCACCGTGCCGTATTTAGCCAGCTCGGTTCACATTTTTTATCTTGCGCTCTATGCTCAGACGGTGAGCAAAATATAGTGTAAGCATGTATTTATTTTCGTTAGAGCTTTTACTATTACTTGAAATATCGGTGTGGATTTAACAAAACGTCAAAAATAATTTAAACGCATGGTGCGAGTTCAACCATGAAATATGAATTATGAATATGATGAAACGTTTGCTCTTTCCGATAACTATACATGATTTTATCGCAGTCGCACAGAATCATCGGAAAAAAGGTTCTATCAAAATGTTATGAAGGAAATAATGGAAACAAAACTACAGTTTTATAATATTGTCCGTTTCTACGTTTGTAAACATGCGGACGATTGTTCGGTTGAGTAAACAACGTATCATACTTTTAATCAAAAAGCATTTTAAAAACTCAAAAGAATCAAAACAATGAAGACATTTAAAAGAATCAAAAAAATGTTTTCATTCAAAATGGCAAGGAATTTATCCTTTAATTTTATGATGAAAACGTATGACTGACGAGAATCGATTGAGCATTGAAGCACTCACCTCCATATAAGGTGAACTGTGCGTCGTTTGTGCATGCCGATTGGATAGAAATTGGAATGCTATGATTAAACGATCGTGACCATTGAGTTCTATAATAACTGGAGGGGAAACGTCAACAAAATTAGTATAAATTATTAGCGCGCGGCCGCGTGGTCAAAAACATGGCGGTAATGGCGGTCAAAACTTCCACTTTAAACATTTTTTTCAATATTCACTCCCTCCTGATTTCTAATACTGTTTGTATGAACGAAAACAAGTGAGAAAAAAACGCAATTACGATACCGACAGCATATCATGTGAAAATAATGCTTCAGCATTGCGTGAAAAACACAGTACGGACACACTTAAAAATAAAGAAAATCGACGGTAGAGAAACGCATATTTTGGATGTAACATTTAAGTTATTTTATGACATTTTAACCTTTTAAAAGTGAAAATCAAATGGCATTCTTTAGTAGACCTGTCAATCTCGTCAAACTTATACATTATTTCATGCTTCTGTGTGTTTACTGTTTCTAAACAGTTTGGTGCAACTATTTTTCTTGCTCAAATGGATAAATCTGTGTAAAAATGCTTCAAAGGAAGCGAGAAAATGTTTGCTTTAGTCCTACGACATAAGTCAACTGAAAATTTACCATGGATAAGTATCATAAGTGTATTGTCATTACCTGATAAATCTACTGAAAACTCATAAAGAAAGTATGTTGAACTAGAAGAGCTACAAAAAAGAAAAAAATTCAAAACACCATGACACTGTTGCTTGGTAATTTTTATTTTGTAAACAGCTTGGCAGAATCTTGGATCTATTACTGAACAGAACTACATTAATTTTCCATTGAAATTACAAACTTGGAAACTAAAGTGCATTGGTTTCTCTGACAAAAACACTGTCTATTGCTGCATGAAGGCAAAATAGTTATTTGACAGAATAGGTGTTCAAAGAAATTTATCAAGTTCTATAGATATTATTGTGCATTACTTACAGTTTTTTGGAATTGTGTAATATATGTCATGAACAAGAATAATTTTTCAAAAGTACTAACCCCTTCGAGCACTACTACTCTTCTGTTTTGCTTAACCAACTTACAGCTACCAATACTAATTATTTATATGTACAAACTAACATTTAAGAATTAAATGATAAACAACTTGTTGAATCTTTGTATTTTACATCAAGCCTTTGAATTAGTTCCTTTTATCTCTTGGTAAAAAAATATTAATGAAAGACTTACAAATCAAGTTTCTCGAAAATAGTATTTTGTACAAAGAAACTAAATAATTGGAAAGGTCACATGTTGAAGACAGACTTTGCTTCTTTGACTAGGTTGCTGGACCATGAGCAAATTTAAATTTGTTTACAATTTGTTGAAAGAATTCTTTTTATTGACTTGTACTAATTCTTCATAAGACACAAAGAATTTCTTTGCCATCTATTTTTGCTTCCTCTACATTCAACTTCATTGTAACCAATGCATCCGATGTGAATTTGTAGATCACCTGGAATCATACCAAGTATGGATTTAATGAGATGAGACAATAATATGTTTAATTTTTCACGCATATTAATGATACAATCATAAGCTACTGTTGAACAAAATTTCAAGGTAGAAACAAATCTTAGCACATTATTCAACACACTACTTTCATCTTGGTTTTGAAGTAGTAACCTGTTTACTATAACAATAAATATTTCATTTACAGAAACGCTAAGTAGTACTTTAAAATTGTTAGCATAAATCCAACTTTCCAATGTCATTATAATTGTCTACACTATACAGTCACTCAAATTGAGCAGGTAAACAGTTTAATAGTTATTTTTATTATACAACATATACCATAGTTCTCATTAATTTTGCATGGCACTGCATTCAATTTCAACACAACTCTGTTGTAAACTTTCCCTTCATCTTTTCAAAAAAAACATGAACAAATTATGCCCCATTTTTGGGAGATGAACTCAATTCGAATCAGGAGAGTTTAGCTTGATACCTTGATCACGATACAAGATGGATGCAAAACTCGATAAAAATTGACAGCTTCGCCACGTCTGGCGAGCGATTAACTGAAGAACAAACAAGACTGGACCAAAATAACTTTAAATTAAAACTTAGTAGTAGAAACAAGCTTCAAGTATCGTGTTAAAAACAAAATAGTAAAACTAATACTGTGCTACTTACCGGAGTCAAAAAATGTTCCCTTTTCTGTCGTTATTTCAGCATCCGCAAACCACAAAAGTTGGCAGTTTAATAAATAAAGTTTTAAAAAAGTGTTTATGTTAGGAAAATAAAAAGTTTTGATATTTTCTATACTCGCAATCGTGGTGGTCAAATCAGGGTGGGCGACAAAAATTTCATTTCATGAGCCCGCGTCTCTCCGCTGACTTTGACCACCAAAATCCGCCATGTTTTTGACCACGAGGCCCAGGCCCCTATTTCCTAGGTGAAAGTGCTTCAAAAAGCGCTCAAATACTGGCAAATCGCATCGACAAAATATCGATAACAAATTCAACTAAAACATACAAATGAATGTAGTATGAAAGTAAAATACCTTTTCAGCATTTAAATCCATCAAATGGTTGCCCCAAAGTCCACACAAATACAAGGAAAAATAAACGCAAATATCAATGTATTGAAGAAATTGTATTGTTTCTCATTTGTTGACCAGAAAATAGTCGTATGTCACTCGTATGTACTCGTATGTTACTCGTATGTACTTGTATGTTTCTCGTATGTACTTGTATGTTACTCGTATGTACTCGTATGTTACTCGTATGTACTTGTGTGTTACTTGTATGTACTCGTATGTACTCGTATGTACTCGTGTGGTGTTTTAGTCACGATCATGATTAAACATGGCGAGTAAACCATGCATCATATTGTATTGGTTGTATTGCAAAAAATTGATTTCCGCTAGACTCAGGTTACAATTATCTCTCAGGTTACAATTAATAAGGCGAATGAGCTTCACAAAAAGCAGTCTAAAAGAAAGTGACACAAATCAAACAAGAAATCATGCCGTGTTTTTATTTCAACCTAAAGAACAAAATCAGAATTGTGAATTGTCTTAAAATATTTAAGCAAACAAAACTTTAAGCTTTTGACAAATATGAAACATTTTCAATAGGAACCATATGTCTTTTCAAAGTCAAAAAACTTTTCAAAGTTAAAATCTGTTCAAATGTCCACAATGTTTACATCAACCATGTGGCTTTTTACAGAATCATATTTTACAAAATCAAATTTAAGCTCCGGTTAACATGATTTAATTGTTATTGGCCGAGTTCTAAATGACAATATGCAAATTTTGTAAAATGAGCTTTGAAAACTGTTCATCCAATTATCCCATTTTGAAATTAGCATAATTATACATACATACAGTGTTACTTGCATCTACTTCTATAAATTGATTTATATGACAATTTGAAAATAAAAGATGACACAATTAGCTTGTCTTTATGCAATGACAAAGTATACGAGTTGTTGCGGTTTCTTGCTGTATTTTTATTTTTACCATTCATTATTGTATTGTTTATGGCAGATGATACATGATGGAAAACACGCAATAGCAGTTTCCAAACTGTTTTACCTTACTTGGTGGAGGGGCAGCACTTCCCTTGCGATAGTAACTCCTAGTAAATAAGTAATAATGAGCAAAGTACATACAACATGTGGCTTTCAGCTTCGTAAACATTATCTTCGTTTGTGGCGTTGACAAAACTACAATGAGAATTTCTTGTTTTAAAGTAATATTATTACTCTATAAATCTATTTATTGAGGCTTAAATAATCGCAATGATTGTACTACCTTGAAGCAATTGAATGAAAATTGATGAGAGACTTGCGGCTTCTTGCGAGATGCGTTCCCTTGCTGCAGAGTATTTGTCCTTTGTTGCATATTTCAAATAGTTTTGAATAAACGGAACTTTTAATGAACTGAACCAGCAGCCGGTGGAAATGTCGAAGAAAATCTTCCACCAACAATAATTAAATACAATAGATTTTTTATGAGATGACTTTTATCACAATATCTTTTTTAGACGTATTCCTGACGCTAGCAAACGTGAAAATCAAGTTGTTGGTGATTATATCTGCTAAATATGATTGAAGAAAAACATCGAGCCAAGAATCATCTAAAGATATAGAAAAATAACATAAACTTACCACATCGCTTTCAATTTCATTGATAATGGCTTCTTCACCAAAATTCAACGAACGAATTTTGACCTTGCCTAAATGTAAAAGGAGTAATGTTACAAAAGAAGCAAAACGAGAAATGTCCGACGTCAATATAACTCACATTCCAAATATACTTTCCACGTTTTTCAGCGAAAGCCGCGTGTCGCTCTTTCTTGTTTTCATCTTATCAGGCGAACATTAATAATAGTTTTGAAAACAGCAATTCTTGGTTTTCATGTGTGTCTTAAGGGAATAACAAACAAAGAAAGGGCATCCACCAATAATTAAATACAATAGATTTTTATGCTTTGCGTAACGAGGATTTCAATATTACAGTGAGACCATGCGTAGTGATGTCAGAAGCGATTAGTTAAAAATGTTTTTTCACATTATTTCGAAAATTATGTATATTAATAAGACAATACAAAAACTGACTTTGACCAAGCCAAAATGAAATTGACCTTTCGTCTTGAACGAAAACATTTCGGCCGTTATTTTGAGAACCAAAGAATGGGTCGAGGACGTTTGTTATATGAATTTTTAAATTGACGGCATTCATGCTGTGATGATGAAAAGAGTTTTGAATTTAAACGAGGATGTTAAAGGAGGAGGTTAATGGTGTTAGGAGGATGTTAAACAAGAAACCAACTTTCGTCCAGCATCAATATGACAGGGTTAATTGAAAGTGGACTGGGACAGATAGTAGATGTGACGTCCTTTGCATAACCCATGATCTTTGGAAAGAGGTACGAACATTGAGCTCTATAATAACTGGAGGAAACGTCAACCAAATTACTATAAATTATTAGCGCGCGGCCGCGTGGTCAAAAACATGGCGGATTTTGGTTGTCAAAGTCAGCGGAAAGACGCGGGCTCATAAAATGAAATTTTTCGCCCACCCGGATTTGACAACCACAATTGCGATTATATAAAATTTCAATGCGAAGCACAAAACTTTAGAAATTTTATTTTAAAACATGCTGCAAACTTGTTTGGTGTACGGATGCTGAAGTAATGCCAGAAAAGAAAACATTTCATGACACCGGTGAGCAACGTAAGATTGTTTACCATTTAAAGTGTTCAGTGTTTTGTTTTAAGTCAATACTTGAAGTGTGATGGTATATATTTTGTGAATGTTTTTTCTAAGTTATAATTTAAGTTATGTATATCCAGTCTTATTTGTTCTTTACTTAATCGCTTGCTAGACGAGGCAAAGCAACCAATTCTTATCGAGATACGCATGTCTTAAAACTCCTTGTTTCAACTGACTTTACCTCCAAGAAATAGAGGATTTTTTCATGATATTTTTCTGAAAACATGAAGCAAATATTAAGAACAGAGCTGTATTGAAATGAAATGCACTGCAGGATTAATTAATGAACTTTTTGGTGCAAGTCGTACAATAAAAAATACCTGTATTAAACAGCTAGCCTGGACAATTTGACAGATTATGAACAATCATGATGATGGTGTTTAAGGGTTTGCTTTATGCTAAAAGTTTTATAAATGCCATCGGGTGTTTCTGTAAGTGAATTGTTTGTTATAGTAAACAGGTTAGTACATCAAAATCAAGATAAAAACTACTTTATTCAATAAAAAGCCAAATTATGCTCCTACCTTGAAATATTTGCTCAAGAAAAGCTAATGATGACATGCATGAAACATTAAATATAGTACTGCATCATCTGTCAAAATCCATACGTTTTTCAATTTCAGGTGATTAAAAATTCACATAAGATGCATTGGTTGCAATGAAGTTGAATGTGTAAGAAGCAAAAATTGATGGCATAGAACTTTTTATGTCTTTTGAAGAATTATGATATCATTTAAACGATATCATTTAGTAGCAATGTAGTAAAAGAAGTGATATCTGTCTTCAACATGAGACTTTTCTAATTATGTATAGTTTCTTTGTACAAAATACTATTTTAGAAAACTTGATTTTAAGTCATTCACTGATATTTTTACCAAAAGACAAAAAGAAAAATTCAAAGGCATAATGTAAAATTCAAAAGTTTGTCAAGTTGTTTGAACCTAGAAAAATTAGTATAGGTACTAGTAATTTGTAAGGACACAAGAGAAAATAGTGCAAGAAGGTTAGCATTTTGAGAATTAATATGTTCTTCTTGACATACATTACACAAGGCCATAATATTATAAATAATGACTGTACAATAACAATTATACAACATGCTAAAATCTTCACCTACATTATAATTATTTAAACAGGTTTGTCTTCATGCAGCAATAAGAAAAGTGTTATGTCAGAGAAACCAATGCACTTTAATTTAAGAAATCATATTTTCAATGGGAAATTAATGTAGTTCTGTTCAGTAGTAGATCCATGGTTGTCAATGACAATCCAGTTTCTAATATCTTGGCTCAAAACAGAACCAGCAACATGATTATAGAATTTCTGAATTTCGTTCTTTTGCTCTCCTAGTTCAAGATATTTTCTTCATAAGTTCTCAGTAGATTTATCAAAACATCATAATACCTTATAAGACACCCAGAATCAATCCTACCAAAAAACTAAAAAAATTCATACCTACTTATAATATATTTCCAGTCGACTTAAGTCGTAGGGTAAGCTAACTTTTCTAACTCCTTTTGGACGTTTTAACTAAGATTTACCCATCTATTCAGGAAAGACAGTTGCACCAAGCTGTTATCAAACAGTCAAAAACACAAGTATTTTGCATGGGATTATGCATTAAAGCTTAACAACACATTGAAAGTGTAAAGAATGCCGTTTGATATTTATTTCTAACATAGCTAAAGCATTACTTGAAAAATATACGTTATTTTACAGTAGATTTACCTCATTTAAATGTGTGTGTCTATTTCACAAAAACCTGTAGCATTATTTTCAATATTTTATGCTTACGGTATCGTGGTTGTTTTCGCTGGTTGTCATTGATATAAGCAGTAATAGAGATCCGGATTCGGAGGGAGCGAATGTTAAAATTTTTCTCAAAGTGGAAGTTTTGACAACCAAAATCTGCCATTACCGCCATGTTTTTGACCACGGGGTCCAGGCCCCTTTTCCCCTCCAGTTATTATAGAACTCAATGGGTACGAAGAGCAAGCTTCAGGACTTTGCCCTAACGTCATCACTGATCTGATAATAGACTGGATATAGCTTTCTATAGGTAGCAAAAGTGAAGCCTAATTATATATTAGGCGTGGTGATTAAATTATCTCTGTAAAATAAAAACGGAAATGAAAATAAGAATAAAGTGAGGAAGAAAGCTTAGTAAATTTGTCTTGTTCTAAAACAACAGTACCCTGCTAATGAAGTCACGGCAAAAGTAACATACGTCTAGATAATAAAAATGATAAAAGAAAGGTACAAAACGAATTTTTAAGCATCGAAACTCATTCTAGATCATAACTGCCTCTGAACTTGGAAAATGAGCTGTGAATTATCTTGCCTTCGCAACGATGGGGCAAATTCGATTCTTGCACGCGCAATTTTCAATTAAACACGAACGCCGATATTTTGTTTTATCCATGACAGATGTTTGAGATAAGTAAAAGGTCACGAAATGCCTTAAATATTCGAAAATCTATGTATATAAAAGTAATCCGCCATACATTTCTATAGAAATTTGTATCTCTTGTGGTACCTGGAAGTGCATTTTGCATATATAATTAGGCTTCACTTTTGCTACCCATAGAAGCTATATCAAGTCTATTATCAGATCAGTGAACGTCATAAAGGGTGTGTGAAATGTCGCAACATCAGAAGCATATACGATATCAATTAGACCAAGTATTGTCACAGATATTCCAACTGCTGGTCCATTGACTGCAGCCACGATGGGTTTTGGGAAGTCGATAAAAGTTGCAACAAATTCTCTAAAATTATGAAGGGGAGACATGTTGATGAACTTTCATGTGAAACAGGTTAATCTTTGTTGCTTTTCACCTCAATATTTCTTTACTATCAGCAGGAAGTTTTTCTGGACCTTCAGGAGGAATGTTCATAAAGTTAGTGAGATCATTGCCACTACAGAAATATTTTCCAGCTCCTGTTATTAATGTCACAACCGAATTATCATCTCTTGCTTGCTTTAGTGCGACAATCAACTCATTGTACATCTGTCAACATATAAATTGAATTAGAATGACTGGCAATGGTTAAAATAATTGACTAGTTATACAGTGGTGGCCTATTGAATGGGTATGACTGGTAATGGTTAGAGATAAACCTTTGAATAAATGGCTGGTCATGGTTAGAAAAGGTGCTCTATTGAATGGTATGACTGGTAATGGTTAAAGACAAACCACTGAATAAATGGCTGGTTATGGTTAGAAAAGGTAGTCTATTGAATGGGTATGACTGGTAGTCTATTGAATGGGTATGAAAGGTAGTCTATTGAATGGGTATGACTGCACTCAGGCGAATGAGATGTTACTCGTTGGAAAAGAAACTGACTGCGGTCGAAGCTTGTAACTACGGTTTGGTAACAGAAGTTATTCCTCGCCGAAATTGAAAAGAAATCAACAACAGAATGAAATACATGGCTGCGTTGCCGCCGAAGGTAGCACAAATCTGGACTTTACCGTTATTGCTTCGTTTCATTTAACCATACAATGCTTCTCTCCATTGCAGTCGCTCTCATTGTCCAAGAAATTATGTTGCTCAGTTGAGCTGGAGAAACTTCACGATGTGAATAATAAAGAATGCGAAGTGCTTGCTCAAAAATGGCTCTCGGAGGAATGCGCGCAAGCAGTGATGACTTTTTTACAACGCAAATCAAAAATGTAGTTGAAACATTAAGTTGATTCTTGTTTATGAAATGTTCGATGCATTTTCTTTCTGTGTATGTTATTCAATTTGATAAAAACCATTTCCACCAAAGTGTTAAGCGTACAAAAGCATCTGCGCAAACATCTACTTGATGTCACGTGACAACATGTTAATTAATGCACTTATTTTTAAACAACTGCATCAATTTTCAACAAATGCGCAAGAAAATAAGGTTATCGCGACTAAGAAGTCCGTTACGCCAGCAGTAAACACTGAAGTCTCAATGACTTGAACGATACAGAACGAGTGTTCGAAATTTTCCAGCAAAGTTTTTGCTATGTTTTGGAACTTGATTCAAAACGCAATTTTTCCTCCAAAGTAAAGATTTTAAAAATCGTGGTTAAATGAACGAATATGTTTTGTTATTCAACTCAAGTTACGAATGATTTACACCAACAACGCTACAAATTCCGCTGCGTAAAGGTTACAAACGGATCATTGGGGGACACAATATCCTATATGTACAACAAATATTTGCACGCGCTATAAGTCCGATCGCAAGTATACCTGGATGGTAAGCCATTCCTGTAAGCTCGTCCACCATCTTCTTACGATGCCATGTTGCTGATGTACTTTTGAAACAAATCGCGTTCCTCGTGATTTTTATCCTCAAGTTCTTGTATATTACCGTTGACCATCAACGTCTGTTTCTCGAAGGCACTACAATATTAAATATGCTGCTTTACTATTTGCTGACATGGGATTTTTTCAAAGTTCGAAACTGTAAATGTTTTCATCATCTTCGACGTGAACGTCCATGAATAACAATAGAAATCTATTGCATTTTCAAAGGTCCCGTGTCCTCTCTCTAGTTGCTAAGCTCCGCCCACCCCCTTCCTCTCCTTTCCAATAGTGCCCAATCTCTCTCCCTCGTAAAAATAGACACACAAACCTGTCTAGAAACTAGTGAAGATCTCGCCAAAAGTGAATTGAGCTCCTCCTCGAAATGTTTGAAAGATAAAATTTCTGCGACAATTCCGCGTTCCTTTGCCATGTCGCAGTCGAGTTTCGTGTTGCATAGAATAACAGACATTGCCTGATTTAAAGGAAATTCACCGTAAGACAAAATGAATTTTTTTTAAAGCATCTCGGTTCTTTTATAAAAACAACAATTATGTTTCACGATACACTTTTTAAGGCGGGGTAGGGATAGGGAGTAAAATTTTGGGGAACTTAGATAAAGCTATTCGTAGTTTTAATTACTTTTCAATCTCACAGTTAATTTTTAACACCTCAGAACATAACACATCCTCTCAGGTTCAAGAAAAGAAAACATTTTAATGTTTATATAAAGTGATCAATAGGCGTGGATACAACTCAAATACATAACATGGCAAAATATGACCTAGTGCCCAGGCCTCCGTTTAATATAAACAAGTCACGTGTACCTGTGAATGACCAAATAAATTAGGTACAGTTAGAGAGCAACATCCAACTGGAGGATGACCCAACTCCACAAACTTCGTTTGAAAAGTTGCCTTTAAAAAACACGACGAATATGTCAACTGAAATAAAAATTACGTAATGTTGTACTGAGGAGTCACTAGGAGTCACTAAGGAGTCACTAAGATCAGTTCTTACCAAACTGGAAACATTGGTCTATAAACAAGAAGAAGCGTTATGAATACGTTCCGCTTTCGCGCATGTATATTTACTTTTCATAATTGGAAAGGTCGTCGTTTAATTAGATTCGTGCTCAGTTACAATTGGTTTTTTCTATGAAATTAGATTGTCCCCCCGCTATCTAATTTGAATTAGAATTTTAGCAAATTGTGAAGTTGTTTCAAAGTAGTTTGCCACCTACTTCGAACTGCTGAGCACAAAGTAATTTTGCTAACTCGCAATGACTGTTCATGCGTCTATTTCTATAATACTATAGTTCATGCGACTTAAACGATCTCATGACACCGTTGAAATAAATGAAATGGTAATCGAGTTCCATCGGTTCTAATCGCTAATAAAGCGCTCGCAAGAAAAATGTTTCGTTTGATCATAGTGTGTGTGTGTCATCGTGGGGTAACTTCATATGCTGAAAAGACAGTTAAATTTTCCATGCACCTAACTCCCAAAGACTATAGCTAATGTGTCTATTTCACAAAGACTTTAGTTCATGCACCTAAAGGCTATAAAATCTATATATATGTATATTGTTCGTGCATCTTAACAATATAGTTCATGTACCTAACTCCCAAAGACTATAGTTCACAAACTTAACTTTCAAAGAATATCTTTCACACACCCAACTTCAAAGACTAAACTCCCAAAATTCTTCTTCATGCACCTAAACTCGGAACGACTATAGTTCATACACCTAACTCCCAAAGACTATATTTCACGCACGTAACTCGCAAAGACTATAAGATCATGCGTCTATTTCCCAAAGAGTTTAGTTCATGCAACTAACACCAAAGAAAATAGTTAATGTATCTAATTACCAAAGACTATAGTTCATGCACCTTACTCCGAAGGACTATAGTTCATGAAAGAGCTCCCAAAGACTATAGTTCATGCACCTAACATCCAAAGACTATAGTTAAAGCACTTAAATTCCAAAACTTATATTTCACGCACCTAAATCTCAAAGATTGTTCATGCGTTTATTTCCCACTTATTGAACTCACTTGATTGGTGAATTGTATTTTCCCATGTTTTCAAAAACTTTCTTAAAGGTCATACATTCCAATTCTTGTTCTTAATTCCAGGATCACATACATATGAACTATTGACCAGACAAAATCATGATATCTAATTACAATGTGACATCACTCTTCACATCCATACCATTAGACATAGCCAAACAACACAACTAGACAAATAAAATCCCAGACTTACTCAACCTTTGCCTCTCCACTGAATTCTTCTTCTAAAACTCATACTATAGACAACTTTCAGCGAATCATTGGGGTCACCACTATACACCTTCCTCGCAAAAGCTGTCGTGCAAAACCTCGAAACACAATCAGTCACCAACACCACAGATGAAACAGACAGACTATGGAATAGATATAAAGACGATATCTTTGCCATAGTCAAGAAAGCCAAAACTGGACAAATGCTACACACCATAAAAATACTACAAAGAAGATAACCTTCACTAAAGACAAAAAAAACACAACAAGACTAAACTAACAAGTATACGGCATAAATACCCTTACAGACCAAATACTTGATTTCAACCGTAATCATTCCACACAACACAAAATAAGCAACATTCGAACACTTTTCAACAGAATTAACACTCACTGCAGCACAGAAGAAGCCAAAAAACAGAACGCAACTACTTGTTCTCATTTATAAAAACTAGTTACCCTATAGAAACTTTATAGACGAAACTATAAGCAAAATCAGTCAGAACTTTACTACTAACGGACACCTCCCGAAAGCAGACACTGCTATTAGGTCCCTGCCAATACTCTTACTATTAACTTATTTACAACCTCTCATAAGCAGACACCAAAACAATCTTCAAACAATTCTGTAGTGTTTATGGTGTTTCGAAAGTTCACTTTTAGGGTGGTCATGGGAGAAAAAATTTACATGAGTTTAATATTTACTGAGGAAATTACCATACACCAGCTATGGTCAAATGGCAATTTTGCACAAATTAACAAATATTCGTGGCAGAGATTGAATTTTTATATTTTCGTTGTTTCAAGAAATTTACATTGTTTTTGCTGGCATACGATAGAACATATTTCGCATACCTTCCTCCTAAACCCACTTTCCGTCATATTTTGCCGTTTAGTGTGCATTTCATAGCCGAATCTTATAACTTAGATATTTCATACAGGGACAATCCTTCACCATTGATAAGTGTCGTCGCTTTTTGCTCGATAAATCCCGCTTCGAAAAAATATAGATATGACGATATATTTTCGGATATTTTGGGGTTTTTGTAGTGTTGTTCGCAATGATTCATAAATAGATCAAATTGAACCTTAGCCGACAATTACCCCGCACGTGTGATTGGGTCAAGATTGTCTGTCTAATACATTGTATACAGAACCATTTAAAAACCGCTATAAAGCTATTAAAACCAACAAAACACAATTAAAACTATGTATAATAACTATATATATCGTAACAACGAATATTTTCATATTTTTCGATATTTTCGGTACATCGATATATCGATATACCGAAAAACCAATATCGATAAACCGATATTTAAAACCCCGATATTTATCGATAATTCGATATGTCGCAACAGCCTACCTCGCAAGAGCCTTTATCGTCGTAAACATGCTTGGACTCATTCATGTTTTCAGTGGTTGACGAGTCCTCATCCAAAACTCTCGAGCGTATGCTAGGTGCTTCAACTACGTTCAATTTCATCAAGCTATCTTCAACCTGGCGTCGTTGTTTCTCTTCTGCCATGCTTGATTTTGTTTCAATGTTGGAAGTTTCATTTTCAAGCAGTTCTTCTACCTCGATCTACGAATTATAATATCTGTCATAAATATTAAAGCAGTTTGTTTATGTAGAAAATATGCAGACACAAAGTTATGAAGAGAAATAAAACATCTTTAACATTGTCACGGATATTACGAGGGGCATAACAAAGTGTTGATGAGTTTGACTAATTCTACGTTTATAAGAAACTTTTAAACAATTCTAACCCTAACCTTAACACTTACACTAACCATAATCTAACCCTGACCTAATCCATACCCTAACCATTGAACCAATGTATGAACTGTAGTCAATTGTAGTCACATTATAAAGCCTACTTCCTATTGTTTTTGGAGTTCAATGTGCATTCTAATCTTTCGTTTCAAATCCGCATTTTATTCTTGTAATCTTGTAGCCCATATTCTTGCAAGCATTTCTCAAATGGATATTCAAAATGGAGACTCCACAAGATATGCTAATTGCTAATTTTTTTTCACCAAACAAAAAATTTGTCACAGTCTGTTACGGGTCTTGCAGCTGACATATGAAATGTTTGTAAGTGTGGCAGGAAAATTACATTTATATAGCTACTCTTTGTTTTGCTATGTTAAGCATCACACAATAACAAGAAAACGAATGAGGAATTGGTCACATTTACCACTAAAACAGTAAAATTCTAGAGCTCCAGTACGAATAGCAAATGACTGTCAAAACGAGGGACGATCTTGGCCCACTGCGATAATATTTTACCAAATGAAGGGGAATTCCACAAAACATGTCCATTTGGACATATTATACAAGTGCACATGTGTCAACTAACCCTGGTTTAACCAAGGTTTGCGTTAAATACGACGCTTTATATTTTTCATCGCTGTAGTATGAACTACTTTGTTGATAAATATATAGTAATTCTGCGAGTAAAATATCTTTACCTTCCTCTGCACAACAAAGTTTTTCTTGTATCAACGCACACAGCCTCCTACTAGCTCAAGAAACAAGCCAAAATATGAAAGAGAAGCGATCTCGTTTGAGTGAAAACTTGATGGTAAAAGTTGAAAAGTTGCTGATGGTTATCGCCATAAATTACCAATGGAAGAATTTACCACCACGATAAAATCAATATTACCACCACTGATAAAGTATTAGTGACCAATGCCGCCAGTTTGCCAGTGACCAGTGGCATGTACGCGTACCTATTTTTCTATAATTGCGACGCATCATGGGATTTACATTCAAATTTATTTTGTGAGTAAATTCATTTTATCTTTACCATAAAATGTTGTTTTACTTCAAAATCTTCGCTTGTCAGACTTCGTGAGCTGACTAAATCTCGCAAGCGTTCGATCACGGCCATGACCGATTTTTCACCGAGTACTTTGTTGTCACGTGTTCTGACGTTGACCGTGTCTGAGACCGTCTCTTTTTCACCAACAACTGTTTAAAAAACAACATAAAACCATTTAACCAATCGCATTTAGTAATAAAATGAACATCTATTTTGCTTTTAAAATAGACAACACTTAAAAGACAATGAACACAAAACAAACAAACAAAAACACAAACAACAAACAATCCAACAACAGCAAACGATAATACCTTACATTTTACAACTCGCACATCAACTGACTACCAAGAACAACGAGTACTGACAAGTGAGCATCACAATGCACAACATTACAAACAGCACTGACTATAGACAACGACTTACGTTAGAAAGTAGGTTAACAAACTCAAAACAAAAATCATTGAACAGAATACAAATATCAGCACCTTATAAACGGCTTACAAGCGAACAATTAATAAGTATACCACACAAACTAAAACATCCACATATTTTCCTCTCTGTCATGACGTCTAGAGAACAAATACGGCGAACCTGACTAATGTTGTGGAAACGTCAGTAAACTCTGAACACCAACAGTGGTTCCAAACCATTTTAATTTCTATTTATTTGTACAGTAAATAAAAATAATTTAAAAGACTTATTCATACCAAGAATGAAGTTGTACTGTGAAAGTTGTGCATTGCGAACTTTCTTATTTAGTGTTGATCCGTGATCCAAGTCTGTATCAACACGATAACCAGCTGCATGGAACTTCTTTTGAATCTAAACATGACCAAAATGTCAATAAAAAAAAAAGGACAAAAAAATTCCAATTCATAAAATAGCAACAATTTGTCCATAGCTGAGTTTGCATTAGCCTGTGCAAGTTCGATCTAAGGCTTACCAAATTAAATTTACCGGTTCGGCATAATCATCATATTTACTACTGACAGGAATTACTACAACTTGATGGGGAGAAAGCCATAAAATCCTAGAAAATAACAGAAAATGCAGTGCGTCAAAATTTTGAAATAAAGTAGTAGAGTAAAATGATAAAAATTTCCAAACAATTAAGAAACTTTGTATCATTTTAATTTAACATTTTAAGGACATTTCATTTGCTTTAAGCTCTGGCATGAGCCAAGAAAACACTCACCATTTTCCACCAAAGCTTTCAGCAAGAATAGCAATCATTTTTCAACTGAACCTACAATAGCTCGATGAATAATAACAGGATGTAATTTTATATCTCCTTCACCACTGTCAATAGAGTAATAGAATATTGATAAATTACTAAATTGTTACAATTTGTAAAGATCTACAATTTCATGGAAACTTAAACTGTGCCGTAATCCTCTGACTATAATACACAGGCTTACATATGTTTGTGAGCCATTATCAATGATATTTACATGGGGATGGATGCACAGGGATACATGCATGGACTATTAACTATTATATTGCAATTATCTGTTAACATTGCAATATTAAATGTAACTATATACTTATATGGGTGGGTTTGTTTTGGAGTTTGAATGCAGGTGGGACTTTCAGTGTTCAGCAATGTAGCAGGCTGCATATAAGTATATAGTATATATAAGCATATAAATATATAACAATAGGTTTCTATAGAAACAAATAATCATGTCACTGTTGGTTAAATAAATTAAGTATCAAGACCGTAGTGAGGTTATTCAACGAAAAGCTTACTGGCAAAACTTACCTAGCGTGAGGTTGAATCTCTCAGGAAGTTGGAAATCCAGTTCAATTGTTGCACATTGATGAGACCATCTCATAGCATCAAAAATTTTTATATTAATCTATAAATTGTGATAGCAATGAAATTATAAATTCACAATGGTATACACCTGTAAACATAGAAAGCTTCATCCCCCATCCCCAGGATTTATCTGCCGTTTTTGACCAAAATTATTCAAAGCTTCCATCAGTTTCTAATGAAGCATAAAACAAACTCATTTAGTTAAACAATTAAAAATATTATCAATCATTAAACATTTTCGATATTTATGACAAGACAGCTAAAAAACATTGTAAAGACTGCATTTATGTTCGCTGTGAACAAATTTCATCCCTTTTTTAGGAGGTAAACAAACCAATCTGTATGTCAAATCAACAAATGAAAACATTCTATATTTTATTTCATTCTTGAATAACTGTCTATATCTTTGATATCCATAAAGAGGAATTGCACACGATGAAACAAATGTAACTTGATTAAATAGCTCAATGGTTTCAACCATTGAGTTGTAATGTTTGAAATGTTCAAGGTTAGAAGCCATCTTGATTTCAGCAAACGGAGACTGAAACATGTTAATATTTTAGTTGCAATATTAACAAATACTAAATAAAATCAATTACAAGAAAACAAAAACAATGATGAACCAAAATTGTTAAAGAACATATTTTAAGTAAAAACGACTCATGCAAGGTAACTCATGCAAGGTAACTCAAGTTCAACTTATGATGGTGAAAATATAAAAAAAACATGGAGATAAAATAATGCATGACAATCAATAGATCTTCACTTAGGTAATAATAGCTGCAGATCCAAATTTATAAACAGTGTGTGAAGCACTGACTAAAACATTTTGGCAATCAAATGCACTTGAAAGCCCTGGCAGGTTAGCTAAAGTCCCTCGGTGCTACAAGTCTTGTTACTTTTACTACAAAATCTCCCTCGGCTTTCAAGTACATTTAATCACTAAGTTACCTCACTACCGTGCATCGTTTTACTTATAAAAATATTGCACACGCTAGCTAAAATGTAGATCCCATTAACTACATACATGTATGGTCTTATATGAGCCAGTTTTAAATACTCAAAGAATATTTAGGCAATCAGAGAGTAAAATATTTTACCTTACTCTGAACAAAACAGTTTTTCTTGTGAGTCTTTTATCGCAGGGATACGTCGGTATAAAATTGTTATCACCAAAATGTTTCAAATTCCAAATTGGTGAAGTGTTGACTGTGTAGTAAGCTGGTCGATACAACTCATACGCAACGCATCGATTTGCTGTTTAAAATCATGATAGAACTCATGCAGATAGATTGGTTTCACATAGCCAGAATAACAACCAATAACTGTTAGCTTCCAGAGCAATTCAGTGAATTCACCACAAATGTCAGTCTGCTACGTGAAGATAGTTCTCTTGCATATGCCTCAAGTCTTTTTTTACGCTTCCGAATTGCATCCTTGAACGCCTTATTTTATACAGTTCAGCCAACATTTACCTATTCTTGCCATAAAATGATTAAATGTGCTCCAAGTTGACTGAAAATAAAATTGTTCAGATATATGTATCGCATCCATTTTCTGGCATATACAACCACAAATACAACCATCAAAATGAGGGTCTCCGCTGACCAAAAACGTGCCTAGCTCTGACCTAACGACAACTGGACTACTCAAGTAGAAAAGACTCCTAGCTAGACATTGCGCATTGGTGACACATGACAAAAGTGGCGTTTTATGTACTTACTGTAATAATATATAACCATGCTCGTAAAAAAGTTTTATTAGAGAGACATTAATAGTTTAAGTTTAAGCGAGTGATAAAAATGCTACCAGTGTTAAAGTGTTTAGAAAAATGTGGTAGAAATATAAAGTATGCCAGTTTTCGGCATATATAACCATGGTCGTAAAAACTTTTTATTAGTGAGACATTGTTAGTTTGAGTTTAAACGAGTGATGAGATGGCTAACAGTGTTAAAGTGTTTAGAAGAATGTGATAGAAATATAAAGTATGCCAGTCTTCGGCATATATAACCATGGTCGTAAAAACTTTTTATTAGAGAGACATTGTTAGTTTTAGTTTAAACGAGTGATGAGATGGCTAACAGTGTTAAAGTGTTGAGAAAAATGTGGTAGAAATATAAACTATGCCAATTTTCGGCATATATAACCATGGTCGTAAAAACGTTTTATTAGAGAGACCTTGTTAGTTTGAGTTTAAACGAGTGATGAGAAGGCTAACAGTGTTAAAGTGTTTAGAAAAATGTGGAAGAAATATAAAGTATGCCAGTTTTTGGCATATATAACCATGGTCGTAAAAACTTTTTATTAGAGAGACCTTGTTAGTTTGAGTTTAAACGAGTGATGAGAAGGCTAACAGTGTTAAAGTGTTTAGAAAAATGTGGTAGAAATATAAAGTATGCCAGTTTTCGGCATATATAACCATGGTCGTAAAACTTTTATTAGAGAGACCTTGTTAGTTTGAGTTTAAACGAGTGATAACAGTGTTAAAGTGTTTTGAAAAATGTGGTAGAAATATAAAGTATGCCAGTTTTCGGCATATATAACCATGGTCGTAAAAAATTTTTATTAGAGAGACCTTGTTAGTTTGAGTTTAAAGGAGTGATGAGAATGCTAACAGTGTTAAAGTGTTTAGAAAAATGTGGTAGAAATATAAACTATGCCAGTTTTCGGCATATATAACCATGGTCGTAAAAACTTTTTATTAGAGAGACCTTGTTAGTTTGAGTTTAAACGAGTGATGAGAAGGCTAACAGTGTTAAAGTGTTTAGAAAAATGTGTAGAAATATAAACTATGCCAGTTTTCGGCATATATAACCATGGTCGTAAAAACTTTTTATTAGAGAGATCTTGTTAGTTTGAGTTTAAACGAGTGATGAGAAGGCTAACAGTGTTAAAGTGTTTAGAAAAATGTGGTAGAAATATAAAGTATGCCAGTTTTCGGCATATATAACCATGGTCGTAAAAACTTTTTATTAGAGAGACCTTGTTAGTTTGAGTTTAAACGAGTGATGAGAATGCTAACAGTGTTAAAGTGTTTAGAAAAATGTGGTAGAAATATAAACTATGCCAGTTTTCGGCATATATAACCATGGTCGTAAAAACGTTTTATTAGAGAGACACGGTTAGTTTGAGTTTAAACAAGTGATGAGAATGCTAACAGTGTTAAAGTGTTTAGAAAAATGTGGTAGAAATATAAACTATGCCAGTTTTCGGCATATATAACCATGGTCGTAAAAACGTTTTATTAGAGAGACACGGTTAGTTTGAGTTTAAACAAGTGATGAGAATGCTAACAGTGTCAAAGTGTTTAGAAAAATGTGGTAGAAATATAAACTATGCCAGTTTTCGGCATATATAACCATGGTCGTAAAAACTTTTTATTAGAGAGACATTGTTAGTTTTAGTTTAAACGAGTGATGAGATGGCTAACAGTGTTAAAGTGTTTAGAAGAATGTGGTAGAAATATAAACTATGCCAGTTTTCGGCATATATAACCATGGTCGTAAAAACTTTTTATTAGAGAGACATTGTTAGTTTTAGTTTAAACGAGTGATGAGATGGCTAACAGTGTTAAAGTGTTTAGAAGAATGTGGTAGAAATATAAACTATGCCAGTTTTCGGCATATATAACCATGGTCGTAAAAACGTTTTATTAGTGAGACATTGTTAGTTTGAGTTTAAGCGAGTGATGAGATGGCTAACAGTGTTAAAGTGTTTAGAAGAATGTGATAGAAATATAAAGTATGCCAGTCTTCGGCATATATAACCATGGTCGTAAAAACTTTTTATTAGAGAGACATTGTTAGTTTTAGTTTAAACGAGTGATGAGATGGCTAACAGTGTTAAAGTGTTTAGAAAAATGTGGTAGAAATATAAAATATGCCAGTTTTCGGCATATATAACCATGGTCGTAAAAACTTTTTATTAGAGAGACACGGTTAGTTTAAGTTTAAAGAAGTGATGAGAATGCTAACAGTGTTAGAGTGCTTAGAAAAATGTGGTAAATCTCATAAATCGTGTAAATAAACATCGCTGTATTTCCTACTTTTTAGAGGAGAAAGACCGCTGAGATTATCAGGATGTTTCATTTCAAAAGTGGGGATGTACACACCTGAAGAAATGAATAAATATGAATGTGTGCTAGTGCCAATATGTGACATGTAAGGGTGGAAGCACTAAATTTTTACTGTTTCATGATGCAAAGGCCAACCTGAGCCAACTCCATGTTCATTTAAAAAATATAGGCTGCATTGGTGGCTCATTGCATACAATATTAGAGCAGGCAAACTCTATGTGTTATGCAGTATGGGGTGGCAAAAAAGTGAAGTTGCATCCAGTATACGAAGGTATATGACGTACATAACAATTTACTTGAAGAATGAAGTGTATCATGTATCTAACATGTTGACAAAGTGAATGTTTCTAGCACGTCTACACAAATCATTTTTCTTGTGAAAAAGATATTTTCAGCATGTGAGGCAAGAGCAAAGATGGCCAGAAGACATTGCTCTTATTTCCCAACCTCTATATGCCGATGTAAGTACTTATCATTTACAATGGCAACAGATCACGCATAAATTGTCACAAAGGGATAACTTAACTATTGACGACAGGTGATACAACAAGCAAATGGTTATGACTGTGGCATATTCGTGACAGAATTTGCGAGAAGAATAACAGAAGGGGTAAAGTTGAGAAAAGATATCATGATTCTTAATCACTTTGTTTACTCTGTTCATATAAAGATAGTGCTCTTTTTGATAGGGAGAAGTTGGTCCTGGATTACTTGCCGATATCCATGTAAATAGTAAAAGACCATACCTTAAAAAACTGATTCGAAGCTTTGCCATTTAGCGAAGCAATTTGTAATGAAGCAGAATTTAAGTTTAAAGCTGGTGCATATGAATAACATTCTTATATTTATAACAAGTGATGTAAATAATTTTTTTACAAGTAACGACGTTACATATAATTGTTACTTTTGTGGAAACTATATGGGTAACTATGAAGTAACATTTTGTATAGATAAAACTATTTATAAAAACAAGTTTAAATTTTTCGAAAAACGAAACTATAACGCGTTACTAATGAATAACGCGACTAAGAGTGAGAAAATAGTGTTTGTAGGCTATTTCTCTCTCAGGATTGTATTTAACAATGCGTAACATATTCCTGTGCCAAATATGAAGTTTTGTAAAAAGAAAAAAGTTATCGTATTCCATGTAAGAAACCATGGAGGCAAGAGGCTTAATACACGAATTGCACTGTTCAGCAGCTTGGCTATTGTACATATTGAGCATGGGGTACAATTTCATGTTATATGCTGCATCTCGGTTCAAACAATACTCGTGCAATCTGCAGGCATTATCGTAAATGACCAACTCTGGCGCTAAAGAAATAAAAATACATAAGGATATCATCAGGCACATTCGGTTATGTTACTGCACATTCGGTTATGTTACAACTCTGTCAGGCGACTAAACCGTCACGCAATCTGTCCGATTCACTGATAATACTCAGTTTGTAGCACCATAAAAGGTACACACATACGTAACTTACCATCAGGAAAACGTGTTCGTAAAATGGTAAATGGGATATTTGGTGATTCGTGATCCCTCATTATTTCGAATCCATAACGTATACCTGGAAACAAAAACGAAGGCGCAATGTCACTTACTGCAATAGTAAAACAAATTTTCGTTGGAGCTGTTCATCATGTAAATACCGTGGGGACAAAGAATACAAAATATTCCGGGGATCAAAGTGCCATGCTTCTTCTTGGGTCTAGTGACTTTGGCACAATCTCCCTGCTGTGTCTTCCTATTGTCAAGAACATAATTCCCTCGTTGAATCAGTTCTGGCAGACAAGGTGAATATCCATGGGACGAATTTTGAGACACTGGCAAACGCCACTGACCGTCCTTGACCTGCATATGATCCAAACCATACAATCCTGTTTTCAATGCCATCATAATGCTTTTTCATAGCACAAGAGGAGCAAGGTCTACAATACACTAAATAATTTATTTAAGTCAAATAATTATGAAGCAAAGCGTAACCTATAACAAATCAGAACTTACCCTTCACATCATGGATTGAATAAAAGTATTCAACTGAACACACGTCTACGTACAACCATTCATCTTGAATAGAACGTTTATCCCACTCTGCACCACAAGAACAAATACCACTTTCAGATGGCGCCAAAATTATGACCATTTTTTTCAGGAAGATCAGTAAAATCGCTTGCATCATTCTCATTGCCTAAAATAATTAAATTGTAATATTTACAAAATGCTAGAAAGTGCTAAATACCATACCGATAAAGAAAATAGTATATGTAAAGCTAAAAGGATGTTCACCATTGCAGATTATCTTGCATACCTGTTTCAAATAAAGAAACCTTTTCTTTGCTAAGTGTAGCCAATTCAAAATAGTCTCGCATCTCTGGTGTAATTCCAAAGGAAAACTTAAAAAGTGCCAATGGAGAATCCATTTCATCCTCTTCAACGATTTGCATGGCTTTTGCAAGGGTTGTCACATGAATGCAATGATATGACGAACAGCTGCAACATTTTAACTCGGGCTGGGCAGCGTTACTTTTGAATACACAAAAGTACAAACCCCCCATGGACTATTCACTGGTTTTACAGAAATCCGCTGAACCTCCCTGCACACTGCACTAAACAAGTCCTAAAATATGTAAAATCATTTATCTTAAGGTTGTATTATGTGTGTGTATGTATGTGTGTGTATGTGTATGCAGATTAATAATTATGATTAAGACTTCACAAAATCCTTAGAAAGTGCTTAATATATATATCAGGCACGTAAAGCAAATGGTGAATATGACTTTATTATTTTTATCATACATTTAGTTTATACTACTTAATGTATGTACTGTAGGTATGTGGCTATGTATGTATTTGAGTATGAATGTGTATACCTCAATAGTCATAAATAAATTCAATTTGCCCTGTTGGCTATCACCCTAATAGCTTTATAGAAGCTCCTGAACTTAGGTACAGGATGTACGGTAATAAATTGTGGGGTATTAGAAGGTTGAGAAACTATACATGTATTTGTACAAAATATACAAAATATACTTCTTCAGGTTGCATCTCATGGTACAAATGATCACTGAAAACAGACTGAATCATGGATGTGGATTCTGCATTCATAAAAGAAATTGGATGAGATAAATATGTTGTGTAAATAATCATTCACAAGTTTTAACAATATTTTTGCTTGTAAAGCTGTGCTAGTTAACGTCCACATGTAATAAGAACAATGTCGAACAAGGGTCATGTAAAAACACAGAAGGATGACTTCACAAGGGTTTGAAATGTACAATAAACTGATATTTAAGGATGAAGACATTTTCTCCCACACCACATGATTAACTTTACATTGAAAAAATAAGCCAAATACAAATTTGAGACATTCACTACATGCAATGTCAGATTAATATGTAACAAGTTCTCACATCTTTGACAAGGGTCTTCAAACAAATAGTATGTAAGTGTAAGTCAAAATTTGGTGAAGCTGTTCAGACACCTTATATCCTGAAAGAGTAACACACAACACTTACTTTTTTCAATAAAATCTTTGGCTTCAATGCCAAACTTTCTATCATACACAACCAGATATTTTTCCATTGCTAATATGTGTATGCAACTGGGATATGGTATATCTGACAAGTACAAAAATGTTGTTTGGCCTGTTTTAATCATTTCATTTCAGTAACATCTATTTTACATACCTTTTTGAGGATCTAATTGTATATTATTAGGTAGGGCTTCAACAAATTGCTTTCTATTTGCATCACATGAGCAGCACAATATCCAACCATAGCCATCAAGCAATAGGTGGGGATATCGATGTACAAATACAAATAAATTATGCTGAAGAAAAAAATATATGCAGATTATAGCACCAAAAAAAGCATATTGAGTAATATCATTTAGTTGGGTATATACCCAACATTGAAATTATGGAAATAAAATTTGACATCACCATAATTGTTCTTTTGTTTGCATTATAATCATGAACAACAAAGGATTGCTGACGTGATATATTTGATGCAAAGTCAAACTGTAACAATAGCCCAGTATAGTGACCAGTGGGTGACAAATGACTCTGAAAGAGCAAGTATACAGTAATTATTAATGTTCACTGTTTCAAAAATATCTATCGTAATATATTTTTATGTTTGTTGAGCACATTTCTACGAGATGTTAATAAAGTTTTGCTACACAGTGTCTCATGCATAAGCATCAACAAGCATATTGTCAATTTATAACACATTAAAAACATGACTAGTGGTAAACAGTATAAAGTATAACTGTATAATTGAGAACTACTTGACTAAGTTGACATGGTTGTTTGGCTTCCTCTGTAATAATAGAGATAGATTGCTTGGTAAAGATATCTTCCGAGTCCTACAAATAAAGACCATTATTTAATTTAAAATGTGTACAGACTTTTAATAAGTGTTGAAATAATGCATGCCTTCTTTAAATTACTTCAAAATTTTTTAGTTATTTCTAGTGAAAGCAGTCCTACAAATAACCACTTCCAATGACTTTTCATGAGAAACAATATCAATATGTACATTAAAAACCTGTGTTTTGGTGGTTAACTCTTGGTGCTTGTCATAATTTTCAGCAATATCTTCACTTTGTTCATTCTACATATAATATAGTTTTACAATATATGTAAACTTACCAAATCCCCAAATTCATTCTCTTGTTCAAAAAATTGAGATTCATATGACACACTGCTATTCTATTAACATATATGACATTGTGATTAAAGGATGTAGAGAATCCAGACTTGAAATTGGAAAATGTGCTCAGAATAATTGTTTTCCTTACACAACATTGTGGGCATAAATAAATTTGTACACATACTTTTGTTAATATAACTGTAGTAATAAATATAAATTAATATGAAATTGTGCAACCAGAAACAATAAAAAGAACACTTTAAAAATTCCTACCGCATCATCTTTTTGTGTGTTTCCTTTCCTCTCCACGTTATTGTAAAAGAAGTCATTTGAGCATCTGAATTTCTTCCTGAATTGATACATTTTGCAAGTGTACCCAAAAAATAATACCCCGATTTATAAAAACCAGTACTGCCCGTGTTCTTGGATTGACAAAGTTAGCCTAGAATTATTCTAAGTACCATTCTCCCAGCCAGACTTCTCCGATAGATATTTAAAAAAGTACTAAGCATAGTACTGAGTGACTGAGCCCTGTTGATCGATTGCCTTGCTTCGAACTTTTGATGTTGCAAACTCCTAAAAAATATGAATAAATGAAGAAATATTGTTCTCATACATGAACTTTGAAACATGTAGTAAATGGAAGCCCTGAAATTTTTTTTTTAAGCTGCACCAGTCGGATGGTTGTATTTGTGGTTGTATATGCCATTTTACGGCAGCGAAACATACCACTTGTTCAGCATACGCCATTTTGAAAGCATGTCTATAATTATCCACTATCATCCATTGTAACCACTATCAACATCCTAATGTCATTGGTCAAAAATAGTCACATTTTTTATTTACTTTTGCCTTTCATTCATGTCATTTCTAGATAAGAATTTTCTTATTCGTCCATAGTTCAATCAATAATAAAAAAATATTTATTGTAAATTTTATTATAGCAAATGAACGTGACGCCAAGAGTTTGTAAATTACATGCAATTTTTCGTCGTGGTATAGTGAACTATCTATCTCGACCTTATTTAAACCCAGTGAACTCTACAACAACTGGAAGGCTAACTTGGACGCCATCTTTGAAGCCTGCATGAGCGCCGCCATTGAAAGTACGGAGGCGAAATACATCACTTCGAAATTGCCGAATTTTTTGCAAAAAACAGTGGTCTTCAAGCCAGCTTAATGTCTAAAAATCTTAAACAATGTTTGGAGATTGTTTTTTATAATTTATTGTACGAACATTTTTACTTGCTAAAATTTACATATTACTTGAAGTCGTTTGAGAAGTTCCTTTCTCTTAAATTTATTCTTAAGTTTATCATACATTACATTACAGATGTAAATTTTTTTTTTTTGGGTCTAAGGACATGAGAGTAGAAAACATTGAGGTGTAAAATAATCTCTAAACATGAAAGAAGATGCCGCTACTATACTGGGGAAATGCCAGTAAATTTGATGATCAATTTTCACATGTTTTATACTTGTTGCGAGGTATGTCATTTTGTACGTTTTATGTAAATTTTCGTGAATTAAAAATACTGTGAAAAGTCCCAAATGGATTGCCAGCTGATGAAAAAATCATTTTACACCTTAATGATTTCTTCCTCTAAATTGTTTTCATCAGTTACCATGTTGGGGCAAAATTCCATACAGTGAAAAGAATTTCTGCTAATTTTATGCTTTGCTGAGCTTCGACACTCTCATGTACTCTCCCAACATGGCTTATATGACGTCAAAAGAAAACACACTATAGCTACGGTTGAATGAAAACAGCCCCAAACATTAAATATTTGTTAAAATTGCGTATATATTATTACGAAACAGTGATTTTGTGCACGTTATGATGGCAAATTTCCATATTGCATTGAAAAGCGTATTTCGAAATACATTTATCAAACGCTGACACTTGCTGGCATGGTGACCATGTTTAATTTAAATACATATGCATATTTTAAGCTGACAGTCGTTTCAAAACTACCGATGGATGTTATTTATTCATCACGGCATAAATGCTTTTCAAACAACATTATTATTCTAAAATCATTACTTAATAGAAATTTGTACAACATTATTCCAAAATAGGTGGCAGGAGCCTACTTTGAAATACTTTACCACAAAATTCGTTTTCTAAGTCAGAGAGCGAGGGAACTCTCTGACTTAGTAAGAATACGCCGAATTCAACAGAGTATATATGCTCTCTCAAAATCCAAGATTTCTTAAAAATCTAAAAGATAGCCAAAGAACAAATTAGCGACACAATAAAAACAAACACATAAACCTGAAAAAAGACTGAAGTCACTAAGCTACAAGTCAGTGAAACAAATAAAAAAATTTTTATACCTCATCTTGTTTTCCATCAGCATGCTTCCCGTCTCTCCGTCAGCATCCTCTTCGTCGCTCCATCAGCATCCTCTTCGTCACTCCATCAGCATCCTCTTCGTCGCTCCATCAGCATCCTCTTCGTTGCTTCATCAGCATCCACCTCGTAACGCCACCAGCATCCTCCTCGTAGCACCATCAGCATCCTCCTCGTAGCACCATCAGCATCCTCCTCGTAGCACCATCAGCATCCTCCTCGAAGCGCCATCAGCATCCTCCTCGTAGCGCCATCAGCATCCTCCTCGCAGGACCATCAGCATCCTCCTCGCAGGACCATCAGCATCCTCCTCGCAGGACCATCAGCATCCTCCTCGTAGCTCCGTCAGCATCTTCCTCGTCTCTCCGTCAGCATCCTCTTCTTTTCATCAGCCTCCTCCTCATCTAAACGAAAAATCTAAAAACAAGATTAGGACAGGAAAAAATAATAACGTACTCCTCTCTATCTTCTTCTTGATCTTCATCTCTTGTACCTAAAAAAAGACTGAAGAAGAAGTTATTTGTTTGATGGAAACAAACAATTGTAAGCACCCACCACTGCCAGAGTTCGCGTTCTTTCACTGTCCGTACGCTCGACATGTCTATAAAAATGCAACAACAATATCATGGCAAGTGATTATGGAGATCGTGCTTTCGCATTGTAATAGTTTTATCATGCTAAAACATTGATATCCATGACTGTACATGATTGAACATGTATGTTAAGTGAACAACTCTTTGAAGATTATAAGACTCGCGAGAAGCTTATCGTTTGAACCGTCCATTGTGTTATAACACCCCTCAATGTTATAACACATGCAGTGTTCTGTAACATTGTCAAACGATTTATTACATGCGATATAATTCAAAAATACCTAGATAAAAACAAGATAATTAACGAATGTCTCATGCAATATATTCTCTGCTCAACTCTTTTCGATTTCATCCAAAAGGTTGTTTAATTATTTCGGTAAGGCACTAAGGTTTATAAAAGATTTTGCAACACTCTGCCCGCGTGTTGCAATATCAAATGAATTAATTATTCAATTATATATTACAGAATATACAATTCTGTAATATATAATTGAGGTAATTGATTTAAATTCCTCGTCTCTTCATGTGCATCCTTCTCGTTTCTTTATGTGCATCCTTCTCGTCTCTTCATGTGCATCCTTCTCGTCTTTCCATCTGCATCTTTCTTGTCTTTCTATCTGCATCCTCCTCGTCTTTCCATTTGCATCCTCCTCTTCTTTGCATCCTCCTCTTCTTTCCATCCCATCTTTCCTTTTTCCTTCCCTTCTCGTCTCCATTGCATCCTTCTCGTCTCTCCATCTGCATCTTCTTGTCTTTCCATCTGCATCCTTCTCGTCTTTCCATCTGTATCTCTCGTCTTCCATCTCGTCTTTCCATCTGCATCTTCTCGTTTTCCATCTGCATCCTTCTCGTCTTTTTGCATCCTCCTATCTTTCCATCCATCCTTGTCTTTCCTGATCTTTCTCCTTCTCCATCTGCATCCTTTCTCGTCCATCTTCCATCTGCATCTCTTCCCTCCTCCTCATCTTTCCTCTTCCATCCATCCTCATCCATCGCCCTTCATCTTTCCATCTTCCATCCCATCTTCTTTCCATCTTCCATTCTCCATCTTTCCATCCTTTCCTTCCATCTTCCATCCCACATCTTCCATATTCCATCCATTTATCGCTTTCCATCATCCCTTTCTCTGCATCTATTCTTCTCATCTCCATCTGCATCCCGTCTTTCCATCTGCATCCTCCGATCATCTCGCTATCCTTCCGTCTTTCCATTCTGATCCTCTGATCCATTCGTCTTCCATGATGCTTCCGTCTTTCCATTCCTCTCCTCCAGAATCCTGATCTAATTCTTCTCCATTCTTTTTCCATCCACCCCTGTCTCTCCACATCTCCATCTTTATCTGATTCCTTCTCCTTTCCATCTGATTCCCGGATCTTTCCATTCCCGCCATCTTCTTGTCTTTCCATCGCATCTTCGTTCTTTATCTTTCCATCACCATCCTTCATCCTCCTCTTTGTCCATCTTTCCTTTCCTCCGATCGCACGACCATCCGTCTCCATCCATCTTCTTCATCTTTCCATGACGCATCTTCCATCTCTCCTTGCTTTCCAGTCTCTTCCTTCGCATCCTCCGTCTTTCCATCTGCGACCATCTTTCCATCCTTATTCTTTCCATCCACCTTCTTTCCATCCATCCCCATCCTCCATTTCATCCTTCTTCTTCCATCTGCCATTTGATTCTTCCATCCATTTCTCCATCTTCCATCCGCATCTTCCGTCTTTCCATCCTCCTCATCTTTCCATGCCCTTGATCTTTCCATTTGCACCTCCTCCTTTCCATCGCCACCCCTCCTTTCTCCGCATCCTTTGTTTCTTTCATTCTGCCACTCGATCTTCCATCCTGCACTCCTCTCCTTTCACTGCATCCTCCTCGTCTCTTCATCATCCTCCTTGTCTCTTCTTCTGCATCCTCCTCGTCTTTCATCACCTGATCTTGTCTCTTCATCTGCATCCTCCTCATCTTTCCATCTGCATCCTCCTGTCTCCTCATCTGTATCCTCCTCGTCTTTCATCTGCATCCTTCTTGTCTCTTCATCTGCATCCTCCTCGTCTTTTCCATCTGCATCCTTCTTGTCTCTTCATCTGAATCCTCCTCGTCTCTTCATCTGAATCCTCCTCGTCTCTTCATCTGCATCCTCCTCGTCTTTCCATCTGCATCCTCCTTGTCTCTCCATCTGCATCCTCCTTGTATCTTCATCTGCATCCTCCTCATCTTAACGAAACATCTAAAATCAGTTAAGATTATGACAGAAAAATAACATACTTTATATCTTCTTCTTAATCATCGTCTCTAGTGCCTAAAAATAGACTGAAGAAGTTATTTGTTTGATGGAAGCAAACAATTGTAAGCACATACCACTGTTAGGGTTCGTGTTTTTCATTGTCCGTAAGCCCGACATGTCCACATAAATGCAACAAAAATTGTTGAATGAAAATCATAGCAAGTGATTATGGAGATCGTGCTTTCACATTGTTATAGTTCTATCATGCTAAAACATCGATATCCATGACTGTACATGATTGAACATGTATGTTAAGTGAACAACTCTTTGAAGATTATAACACTCGCGGAAAGCTTATCGTTTGAACCTTGCATTGTGCTGTAACACCCCTCAATGTTACAACACATGCAGTGTTCTGTAACATTGTCAAACGATTTATTACATGCGATATAATTCAAAAATACCTAGATAAAAACAAGATAATTAACGAATGTCTCATGCAATATATTCTCTGCTCAACTCTTTTCGATTTCATCCAAAAGGTTGTTTGATTATTACGGTAAGGCACTAAGGTTTATAAAAGACTATCGAGTTTAAAGATTTTGCAACATTCTGCCCGCATGTTGCAATATCAAATGATTTACTCTAATATTAATATACATATTCTATGATATAATCGAGATAATTCACTTGAATTTTCGTCTCTCATCTGCATCCTCCTCGTCTCTTCATCTGCATCCTCGTCGTCTCTTCATCGGTATCCTCTCCTCTTCATCTGCATCCTCTCTCCATCTGCATCCTCTCTCCATCTGCATCCTCTCTCCATCTGCATCCTCTTCGTCTCTTCATCTGCATACTCCTCCATCTGCATCCTCCTCTCTTCATCGGTATCCTCCTCTCTTCATCTGCATCCTTCTCCTCCTTCATCCCATTCGTCTCTTCATCTGCATCCTCCTCGTTTCTGCATTAGCATCCTCCTCATCTAAACGAAGTACCTAAAAATCAAGTTACGATTATGACAGGAAAAAAATAACATACTTCTCTATATCCTTCTTGATCCTCCTTGTCCGTTCTTGATCCTCCTTGTCCATTCATTTTCATCCTCCTCGTCCCTTCATCTGCATCCTCCTTTTCTCTTTAGCTGCATCCTCGTTTCTTCATCTGCATCCTCCTTTTCTCTTCATCTGCATCCTCGTCTCTTCATCTGCATTCTTCTTGTCTCTCCGTCAGCATCCTCCTCTACTTTTCATCAGCCTCATCCTCATCTAAACGAAAAATCTAAAAACAAGTTAAGATAAGGACAGGAAAAATAATAACGTACTCCTCTATCTTCTTCCTCATCTTCATCTCTTGTACCTAAAAAAAGACTGAAGAAGGAGTTATTTGTTTAATGGAAACAAACAATTGTTTAGCACATACCACTGCCAGAGTTCGCGTTCTTTCACTGTCCGTACGCTCGACACTGTACATGACTGAACATGTATGTTAAGTGAACAACTCTTTGAAGACATAAAATATTATATCCTTTTGTCACAAAGACAAAAGGATTGAACTTGCTATTTCTAACAATGGCCAGTTGTTAGAAATAGGCAAAATGCAAAATCATCACACTTATGTGAATGATAACGATGAATGCAAAAATGAAAATATTTTCTGGACATGTATTGAAGAGGTCCAATAATTGATGTCAAGAATAGTGGGAAACTTTTGGCAGTTTCGTTCGTGTTCTCACTTCAATATGTAACTGAAACTTGACGGCATTTTTGTGCTCCAAGATCGAAACATAGAAATACTAAGAAACCAAAGAAATCGATCATTCCTTCGAACAAATAGGACTCATAACGATGCTTTGAATATGCTGTAACGAGAATTCACATCACAATTGGGTTATACATTTTAATTCATCGATCTCAAACTTACATCTTTATGTCATCGACGATTTTTCTGTATTTAACCTGCCGCTTTCAAACATGGCTAAAATATCTCAACCGTGTCATGTCTTCAGTTGCTCGTCCTTTCCAACAAGTAGTCGCATTTCTTGAAGGCTGTCTTCGACTTTCAACAGACTTTCACCTTTCCCAGACGAACAGCTCGGTCAAATAGGGTTATCGAAGTGAAAGACCCTACTTTTTCTTCTGATAACTTTCATATATCACATGAATTAATTATTAATTCATTCGTCAATTTGTTCAAACCATGATAAAAGGGATTAAATTCATTGATTGCATGAAAATATATGCAGGGCAAAGACAAAAGGAATTAAGCCTGGTTATAAGTTAACTAACGACATTGGTTAGTAAAAGAAAGCAAAGCCTTTTCCCAGAGGTTTGGAGAAAACAAAAGAATATTTCTTTTGTTTCCTCAATGAAGAGTTTGCGAAATCAATGATTGTAAGGTTATGACGGCAGACAGAGCATGTCGTGTTGTGGTAAATTTTATCTAGTATGAACAAAAAATTATCTCACCCAAAACCGCAATTCAATGCACCATAGCTAGGAGAGTTATCATTTTTCTCCCACCTGACCAACTTGTTACGTCAACAAATAAATTAGAAGGCATATCAAAAGCTTGTAATTTATTCACGTGGGAATCACCCACATGTTATAGAAAAGCTTTGTCGTGCTCAATACTTATTATGAACATTGGAGCCCTGCTTATTGCAATAATATGACTTGCCATTGTAAAATGTAATGTAATAATTTAACGAGAGAATTTTATTGACAGAACTAAATGGTAGCAAGTGATTCATTTTAGCAATCCTAATAGGATGGGACAAAGGGAAAGAATGAGAGGTAAGTTCGTTTTCAAATAATTATCTTTAGCGATGTAACGATAGCAGGACTTTCAAATGCGGTAAATGTTTTGTGGGAAAAGCGCGATTGTTTCTTTTCCGTGGTTGTAATCCTTAAAATTACATTATTAACAGTAAAACTGAACAAATTGAAAGTTATCTTTTCTCTCTTATATTCCTTGTTCAACGAGTTCATTTCCTTGATCAAACCATGATGAAAATTTATCCAATCACATTTACATTAAAGTTTTTTAAACTTCAAGATTTCCCCACATTCATTTAGCTTAAATCCCGCATGATAAACGAATGATATCTCTAATCAAAGATGATCACGCAGTCTCCGATTTTTTAGGAATGAAAATAGGTTTTACGTTAATTGGTTTATGTTTGGCGTAAGGTGAAGCCGGTGATCCAACAATTAACACGTGATTACCCTTTAACCATAATCTCCACATGCTTTTATGAAATCCTCGAGCATCTAAGTCCCAGATTCGTAAACATCTCGCTATATTATTCCATGTTGTCCAGTCGTTAGCATGTTTCATTTCAATATAAAATATATATGTTTTATCAGATGTTTCTGGAACAAAGACTTTCTCGTTCTTGCAAGGATTTTTACTGTGATCCAACGGCTCTGCCAACCTGTAAAAAACAGTAGATAGACATCTCTAACAATCAAATGACATAAATATGATGATAATTAGATCACTGAATCACTAAGTAGAAATCTCCTTCATTGTCCTGTGAAAAGAAAAATATTGTTGTCAATATTTTATAAAATTCTGCAAGACATACCCTACAAGCCGTTCAATCTCCTTCTCATAATTTTCTTTTTTCAACAATCCAACATTAAACTTAACGTTAGGTTCAGTATTCAACGTATGTTTTTGAAATAGGATTCTTGAAAAATACATTCATATTCAGGCCTTTGGCGCCAAAATGGTAGGTTCTTGAGATATCCGGAATGATACATTCACGTCCCTTTGTTGCTGTCCATCCTCATCCACATATCCCAATCCCAAAAGAGATCAGGGTTGGCCATTTGGCTCAAGTTCTTCTTTATAAAGTCGTCGTTTGAGCAACCTGTTAATGCAAAGAGAAATAATAGATAGAATGAAGTTTATACTATCTATACATTTATAGTGCTGCGTGATGTCATTGTGGCGTGATGTCATTGCAGCGTGAGGTCATTGTAGCGTGATGTCATTGCAGCGTGATGTGCTTGTAGTGTGATGTCATTGTAGCATGACGTCACTGTTGCGTGATGTCATAGCGTAAACAAAATCATTTGTAGTAATAAAATTCTCACCAGCCTAAACCAGGCATTGTTTCTACGATATAACATTGCAGGATCATTACATGTGATCATAACCCTAAAAATAGAAATACTTGTTTTGCAATTAAATCATTAATCACATAAATTAGTTTTTCAATGGATGTACCATTTCTAAGGTAAATTTCCTAAATTTCACTTTGTGATGTGCAAGGAAGGAAGCTCGATAAAGACAAACATAATGTAACCAAAGAAACTACAATAAGATAACAGATTCTTGTACGGAGATTTCCATTTCCATTATAATGTGAAAAATATTTGAGATTTATTTAATTTACATTCTGCACTCTCGTCAGAGATAAACTGGACTCGACAAAAAGCAAAAGAATCAGAGACGTTCAAAACCACGTTAATAAAGTTGAAAACGAATTAAAATTTTGTTGTGTAGCAAACACAAGCCAACAATAGAGTAAAAGACTAAAAGATGAAAAGAATGTTGTTAGCTTTTGTTTATAACAAACCTGATCATTCCAGCCAATATACAGTACAGACTTTCATCTGTATCCATTAAAGGCAAAATTGATTAAAATAACTAAATATGTCCACAGATACGTCTAAATCTTCTTCCAAAATAATCATATACTGAGCATTGGGATAAGCATTAAACGTCTCTGTCAATGTTCGCTTGTAATGCTGGGAGGAAGAAAATACATTTAAAAGTAATAAAAGGAACGAAAAATTTTGATTACATCGTGTAAACACTCTCAAAGAAAAAGCCTTACCAACCTGTGATATTCTAGCGTTCTTACTGCTAATAGGAATATGCTGTACGACTTTACATCATATAGCCTTGCCACAGCAGCTGGTTCTTCAAAGAATCCATCAATAAATACAGTAAATAACTCCTTCTTTGCTCCATGAGCTGACAACATTGACCGTAAGCCACGATAAAGATAATGTGGCCTGTTACTAGCAATCACAGCAACAGGAATGTCTTGAACTTTTTCTAACTTCAACGGTGTTGTTTTAATTTCAATTGGAGCAGGATTATTACCTACAACATTTAAGAACATATTCTGTCAGTTCTTCATATCGTTCTAACATTAGCTGCAATAACAGTGATATCCTTATTTCTACAATTTTTTCCATGGAGTATTCTCAGAATATTTTCTCGAAGTTTTAATGCACAATGTGAATGGCAAAATTACTGAACACATCGCTGTACGTTCAATTAAATAAGAAATCTAATCCTACATGGATGTAACGAAAAGATACTTACAACTGCATACACTTCCATAGCCTTCAAACTTATCACAAAACATTCTTCTTCGCTTTAATTCTTCACTGTCATCCCAAGCACAATGAGATTGTTTAGCAGGAACAAGAGGAACTGTACACGAGCAGTGACAGGCTCACCCCAGTTCGATATGTCTGCCGCGTGATGATGTTTCTCTGAGTATTTCTGGCCACGTTTTGTGACGATAAATGACCAGCTATCCCGCCATTTTAGTTCATCGGCATAAACACTACCAAGACTTGTGAGCAAAAGCAATATCGGCGATCATGTAAAGACACAGTTCTCCACGTAAAAGGATTCTTTAAGAAACTCTTACAAGTGTCAAGGAATTATTAACTTGTAGCATTATTTTTCCATCTGTTAAAATGTGACTTCAATACGATCGGAAATATACGTACTCGACTTAATGGTCATTGTTTGCACTCCATTTCTCTTCCATTTGACTTGGTGCAAGCAAAATGGTAGTTCAGTATAATGAGCAAATTTGCGCAAATTTAAGGAGACTGGCAACCGGCAAATACTTCATTGCTATCTTACAATTGGTTCATTTGAATTTTTGTTTTATTGTGATTGGTTTGACGGATTTCGACTGATAGCCAACTGAACTAACATAGTCAAGCTCACTGTCTGAATTGAATGTTTGATCGTTTCATAATTTTATAAGCATGATAGAAACTAAACTACAATCAGATGGATTTTATGAAATCTTTACAAATTCATATATTGACATGAATGAAGCTGTCCAAACTGTGAATTTTTTCAAGAGGGTGAAAAATTTATGGATAAATTGTAAATGCTTGGCGAAGACGATCTCGCGAGCGACATTTCAGTCATTGATGTTCAAAAGAAAGCCAACATTGTTTTGAGTTTTATCAGCAGAAATTTACATCCAAAATGTGTATGGACGAGATTTCTCGCCACAAAAGTAGTTTTACTGATGGCACCGTGTTTCGCCTTTATTCCAAAGCCATCATTAGAGAATACATATAATATATTAATCCTAACACGGAAATATGCACATGAAAAACATGTATGGACGAACTTTGAACTCGCATCTTCAGGATACTAGTCCGCTCAACCTGTTCAGCTACCAAGCCCACATGGATTGGAGACCAATAAATTCTTTTTAAACTGCGTTTGGACAGTGGCGGATCTAGATTTTTCAAACATCAGTCATAAACGTCTTTAAACATTTTACAGTCTTTAAAATTTCTACCAAGTTGTCAGGCATAAACCCCTAGAGACCCCATTCAAACCTCTATGTAACGAGTTGTTAGAAATTTGGTACTACAAGTGAAAGTTCATAGATATAGAAAAGCTCAGACTTCAAACCATGCAAGTTTATTGTAACCCTTACCCATCTCCACATCAGTGTCAGCAAATTCACTTTTTTGAGAAAACTCCAAAATTTTTCTGCCAAAGATTAAGCAAAAATTATCAGAGTAAAAATTTGCAGTTAAGGACAGCTTAATGTCATAAATGTTTATTAGGCATTTCACTAGACTATTATCTTCTGTAAGTATATGCAAGGTGTGCTATATAGCAATCACTAGTAGCATTGTATTTGCAAATACAAACAGAATGTAACCAACATGTCTTTATTATATAATTACATGAATGTTATATTTGTCATGTGTCATGCTTACTGGTTATGATAAATATCTTTTGATATGATCAAGCTCGCTTGATCTGAAATAATTTAGTTTAGAAATTATAATGATCATCAGAAAAATTACATATGATCATGAAAATATTTTTGCTGTTTTGCCAAATTTCAAGGTTTATTTGCATATTATTAGGAAGACATTTTACTCTATAAAAAATGCTTTTCATACATCAATAGCCCTTGGATTTTATGGCAAACTTTGGATTTTAATGGTATGAGCCATAGATTAACACACCTTACATCTCTACATGAGGTGTTCAGTTTGAAAAGGGGACAATATGCATAATGGGACAACATTTGGTATGTGAAATACTCAGGTTTAATACCATTCCAGTCAAATTGTCAAAATAAAAGCTTCATGGATCAGAAGACTCAAAATCACAGGTTATAGTAAACAGCTTCTCATGTAATCAATGTTAGTTTTCTCAAATCTTAAACAATATGTAGTATAACTGTCCAATGATTGAATGATCAATGATCATAAACTGAAAAGCCCCAAACATTTGCTTATGATAAAGTAAATAATAGTATGGCGCCTTATGGCTACAGATTTTTTGTCCATTGAAATATATTTGCAGGAATGTAGGATTTTGCTGCCATATAACGGCCACGATTCCCCAAGCACTAAAGAAATTATAGCTAAAACTCCTTCGGCAACAACAATTTTAGAAGCATCAATCTGCTTACCATATGCCATATTGACATAAATCGCATCACATACTGCATAAATTGACTTTGATATATTACATTCATGCATACACTTCACTTGTCCTTTACTTACGATTTGGATGTAAATTTCTGCTGATAAAACTCAAAACAATGTTGGCTTCTTTGAACATCAATGACTGAAATGTCGCTCGCGAGATCGTTCGCCAAGCATTTACAATTTATCCATAAATTTTTCACCTCTTGAAAATTCACAGTTTGACAGCTTCATTCATGTCAATATATGAATTGTAAAAGATTTCCATAACCATTGATTGTAGTTTGTTTTGCATGCTTATAAAACTGAAACATACAATCAGACAGTGAGTTCTGACTAATGTTGTTCAGTTGTCATCAGTCGAAATCCGTCAAACCAATCCAACAAACAAAATTCAAATGAACCAATTTAAGATAGCAATGAAGTATTTGCCGGTCAGTTCTTCTTAAATTTGCGCAAATTCGCTCATTATACTGAACTACCATTTTGCTTGCACCAAGTCAAATGGAAGAGAAATGGAGGCAAACAATGACCATTAAGTCGAGTACGTATATTTCCGATCGTATTGAAGTCACATTTTAACAGATGGAAAATAATGCTACAAGTTAATAATTCCTTGACACTTGTAAGAGTTTCTTAAAGAATCCTTTTACGTGGAGAACTGTGTCTACATGATCGCCGATATTGCTTTTGCTCAAAAGTCTTGGTAGTGTTTATGCCGATGAACTAAAATGGCGGGATAGCTGGTCATTTATCGTCACAAACGTGGCCAGAAATACTCAGAGAAACATCATCACGCAGCAGACATATCGAACTGGGGTGAGCCTGTCACTGCTCGTGTACAGTTCCTCTTGTTCCTGCTAAACAATCTCAATGTGCTTGGGATGACAGTGAAGAATCAAAGCGAAGAAGAATGTTTGTGATAAGTTTGAAGGCTATGGAAGTGTATGCAGTTGTAAGTATCTTTTCGTTACATCCATGTAGGATTAGATTTCTTATTTAATTGAACGTACAGCGATGTGTTCAGTAATTTTGCCATTCACATTGTGCATTAAAACTTCGAGAAAATATTCTGAGAATACTCCATGGAAAAAATTGTAGAAATAAGGATATCACTGTTATTGCAGCTAATGTTAGAACGATATGAAGAACTGACAGAATATGTTCTTAAATGTTGTAGGTAATAATCCTGCTCCAATTGAAATTAAAACAACACCGTTGAAGTTAGAAAAGTTCAAGACATTCCTGTTGCTGTGATTGCTAGTAACAGGCCACATTATCTTTATCGTGGCTTACGGTCAATGTTGTCAGCTCATGGAGCAAAGAAGGAGTTATTTACTGTATTGATGGATTCTTTGAAGAACCAGCTGCTGTGGCAAGGCTATATGATGTAAAGTCGTACAGCATATTCCTATTAGCAGTAAGAACGCTAGAATATCACAGGTTGGTAAGGCTTTTTCTTTGAGAGTGTTTACACGATGTAATCAAAATTTTTTCGTTCCTTTTATTACTTTTTAAATGTATTTTCTCTTCCTCCCAGCATTACAAGCGAACATTGACAGAGACGTTTAATGCTTATCCCAATGCTCGGTATATGATTATTTTGGAAGAAGATTTAGACGTATCTGTGGACATATTTAGTTATTTTAATCAATTTTGCCTTTAATGGATACAGATGAAAGTCTGTACTGTATATCGGCGTGGAATGATCAGGTTTGTTATAAACAAAGCTAACAACATTCTTTTCATCTTTTAGTCTTTTACTCTATTGTTGGCTTGTGTTTGCTACACAACAAAATTTTAATTGTTTTCAACTTTATTAACGTGGTTTTGAACGTCTCTGATTCTTTTGCTTTTTGTCGAGTCCAGTTTATCTCTGACGAGAGTGCAGAATGTAAATTAAATAAATCTCAAATATTTTTCACATTATAATGGAAAATGGAAATCTCCGTACAAGAATCTGTTATCTTATTGTAGTTTTCATTGGTTACATTATGTTTGTCTTTATCGAGCTTCCTTCCTTGCACATCACAAAGTGAAATTTAGGAAATTTACCTTAGAAATGGTACATCCATTGAAAAACTAATTTATGTGATTAATGATTTAATTGCAAAACAAGTATTTCTATTTTAGGGTTATGATCACATGTAATGATCCTGCAATGTTATATCGTGTAGAAACAATGCCTGGTTTAGGCTGGTGAGAATTTTTATTACTACAAATGATTTTGTTTACGCTATGACATCACGCAACAGTGACGTCATGCTACAAATACATACCACACTAAAGCAATAATATCACGCTGCAATGACATCACGCCACAATGACATCACGCAGCACTATAAATGTATAGATATAAACTTCATTCTATCTATTATTTCTCTTGCATTAACAGGTTGCTCAAACGACGACTTTATAAAGAAGAACTTGCCAAAATGGCCAACCCTGATCTCTTTTGGGATTGGGATATGTGGATGAGGATGGACAGCAACAAAGGGACGAATGTATCATTCCGGATATCTCAAGAACCTACCATTTTGGCCTGAATATGAATGTATTTTTCAAGAATCCTATTTCAAAAACATACGTTGAATACTGAACCTAACGTTAAGTTTAATGTTGGATTGTTGAAAAAGAAAATTATGAGAAGGAGATTGAACGGCTTGTAGGGTATGTCTTGCAGGATTTTATAAAATATTGACAACAATATTTTTCTTTCACAGGACAATGAAGGAGATTTCTACTTAGTGATTCAGTGATCTAATTATCATCATAGTGCGTATTTATGTCATTTGATTGTTAGAGATGTCTATCTACTGTTTTTACAGGTTGGCAGAGCCGTTGGATCACAGTAAAATCCTTGCAAGAACGAGAAAGACTTTGTTCCAGAAACATCTGATAAAACATATATATTTTATATTGAAATGAAACATGCTAACGACTGGACAACATGGAATAATATAGCGAGATGTTTACGAATCTGGGACTTAGATGCTCGAGGATTTCATAAAAGCATGTGGAGATTATGTTAAAGGGTAATCACGTGTTAATTGTTGGATCACCGGCTTCACCTTACGCCAAACATAAACCAATTAACGTAAAACCTATTTTCATTCCTAAAAAATCGGAGACTGCGTGATCATCTTTGATTAGAGATATCATTCGTTTATCATGCGGATTTAAGCTAAATGAATGTGGGGAAATCTTGAAGTTTAAAAAACTTTAATGTAAATGTGATTGGATAAATTTTCATCATGGTTTGATCAAGGAAATGAACTCGTTGAACAAGGAATATAAGAGGAAAAAGATAACTTTCAATTTGTTCAGTTTTACTGTTAATAATGTAATTTTAAGGATTACAACCACGGAAAAGAAACAATCGCGCTTTTCCCACAAAACATTTACCGCATTTGAAAGTCCTGCTATCGTTACATCGCTAAAGATAATTATTTGAAAACGAACTTACCTCTCATTCTTTCCCTTTGTCCCATCCTATTAGGATTGCTAAAATGAATCACTTGCTACCATTTAGTTCTGTCAATAAAATTCTCTCGTTAAATTATTACATTACATTTTACAATGGCAAGTCATATTATTGCAATAAGCAGGGCTCCAATGTTCATAATAAGTATTGAGCACGACAAAGCTTTTCTATAACATGTGGGTGATTCCACGTGAATAAATTACAAGCTTTTGATATGCCTTCTAATTTATTTGTTGACGTAACAAGTTGAATAAAGGTGGTCAGGTGGGAGAAAAATGATAACTCTCCTAGCTATGGTGCATTGAATTGCGGTTTTGGGTGAGATAATTTTTGTTCATACTAGATAAAATTTACCACAACACGACATGCTCTGTCTGCCGTCATAACCTTACAATCATTGATTTCGCAAACTCTTCATTGAGGAAACAAAGAAATATTCTTTTGTTTTCCAAACCTCTGGGGAAAAGGCTTTGCTTTCTTTACTAACCAATGTCGTTAGTTAACTTATAACCAGGCTTAATTCCTTTTGTCTTTGCCCTGCATATATTTTCATGCAATCAATGAATTTAATCCCTTTTATCATGGTTTGAACAAATTGACGAATGAATTAATAATTAATTCATGTGATATATGAAAGTTATCAGAAGAAAAAGTAGGGTCTTTCACTTCGATAACCCTATTTGACCGAGCTGTTCGTCTGGGAAAGGTGAAAGTCTGTTGAAAGTCGAAGACAGCCTTCAAGAAATGCGACTACTTGTTGGAAAGGACGAGCAACTGAAGACATGACACGGTTGAGATATTTTAGCCATGTTTGAAAGCGGCAGGTTAAATACAGAAAAATCGTCGATGACATAAAGATGTAAGTTTGAGATCGATGAATTAAAATGTATAACCCAATTGTGATGTGAATTCTCGTTACAGCATATTCAAAGCATCGTTATGAGTCCTATTTGTTCGAAGGAATGATCGATTTCTTTGGTTTCTTAGTATTTCTATGTTTCGATCTTGGAGCACAAAAATGCCGTCAAGTTTCAGTTACATATTGAAGTGAGAACACGAACGAAACTGCCAAAGTTTCCCACTATTCTTGACATCAATTATTGGACCTCTTCAATACATGTCCAGAAAATATTTTCATTTTGCATTCATCGTTATCATTCACATAAGTGTGATGATTTTATTTTGCCTATTTCTAACAACTGGCCAGAAATAGTAGTTCAATCCTTTGTCTTTGTGACAAAGGATATAATATTTTATGTCT